GCGAGAGCCCAGGGAGCCGGCCCCACCCTCCCGCTAGCCCTGATCCTGCCTGTCCCTTTAGACTTTGCTTTTTGGTGGATATTTATCCGGCTGCAGTATTAGTATGCGTAATCCGGTAAATCCCAAGCCCAGCTCACTACCATGGAGGCCGTGCCAACCCCTGTCCACCCCAGAGGACCGGGTGGCAGTGCCCTGTGGGTCTGGGCGGGGAGTAGAAAGCCCAGTCTTTCTCCCACAGAGCGGCTGGCAGTTTCAAACTGCCGACCAGAGTGTAGCCACTCCGCGACCAGGCTCCTGACCCGTAACTGACAGCACAGGAAACCCACGTTTCCTCGGCTCTCATCGTTACTGTGAGGCGTGGGACAGCTTACATGGGGGCGGGGGGGCGGGGGGCACGTGGTGTGGCCCGACGATGTTTGGGTTGTCCTGAAGTGTTGGCCTTAGAGAATCCGGTACCCCAGAGGTGACCCAAGGGTTTGAACCTCTCCCCTCGCTTCCTGTCCCCTCACAAGGAAGACTTCAGCCGGACGCAGCCGTGAGACCAGAGTGGGGGGAAAGGTGGGCCACGAGGAAGCTTATGGAGGCGGTGCTCGGGGTGCTGCCCCAAGGAGGGTGCTCCCCCTTCCAGTGGGTGCCTGCTCCCCACAATCCAAGGACACTGAAAAGGAACAGATCGGCGTCCCTGCAGGAGGCCCACACGGCTGCTTTCACGCAGTGTCCTCGGGAGAGGGCAGGCCCAGAGAGACAGGGGCCCTGCCCTCAGAAGGCGCGGACCTGGGGCGGGTACAGCAGCCCCCCGTTTTGGCCCGGGTGCTCTGCAAAGGCTTTGGTGTGTTCACAGTGTTGCGTTTGGACTCCATGTGGGGTGTGACTTAGTTTCCCCCCGGCTGGGAAGAATTGCCCTCCAACGGCCCAGTGGGGTGGAAATCCGCCAGATGCGTGGCGAGGGAAAGGCCCGGGGGTCCACGCCCAGGAATGGCAGCCAGGGCCGCCATGATCAGAGAGCAGCCGCCCCTGGAAAGACGCAGCGTGGGCCGCCTGTGGGCAGCTCCGGTCAGCCCTGCGGGGCCACCACAAGACAGGCTTGATGGTACAGTCAGCACCTGTTGACCCCTGTGCTCAGCGTCACTCTGGGTCGCAGTGAGCCGTGATCGCTGAGCTGTCACCCCAGCGCAGGCTCCTGCCCTGACCAACCCCCTGCGTCTCCCCAGACTACTCCAGCGGCTTTGGCGGCAAGTACGGCCTGCAGGCAGACCGCGTGGACAAGAGCGCCGTGGGCTTCGAGTACCAGGGCAAGACGGAGAAGCA